AGGAGGAGGAGGAGGAGGAGGAGGAGGAGGAGGAGGAGGAGGAGAGGAGAGAACTGGTAGGAGAGGAGGAGATGAGATGTAGGGATGTGATAGCATGGTATAAGGTAGGAGTTGGATAAGAGAAGAGGTCAAGGAAGTGGAGCAGCAAGGAAGCGAGAAAGAGCATAAGGGGACATAACAAAATCTTGAGACAGAAGAGAGAATAAACGATAAGACTAGTGTAAGTGAGAGAGAACAAATGAGAGACATGGGATGGAGGGGCTGGGACGGGGAGGGAGGAAGCTGGGCAAAGCAGGGGAAACCTCGACCATGAGGTATAGGATGTTGCAGGAGGAGAGTTAGACAGGAAAATCGCCCGGGTGACTTGTAATGCTGCAGCTTCCAGCTCAGGCGTCGGCGCCAGCAGCGAACTACGTCCCGTATACCCAGGTGAGGGCAGAAGAGCTCAGGGCAGAAGAGCTCAAGTTCGAACTAATGAGGAGGTTTGGTAGGTTGATGACATGGTTTATATCAGCGGCCAAGTCCCTGTGAAGGACGGGAAGATGATGTTTGTAGTGAGTAGAGGTGTGCTGTTTCGGCATCTTCATGACCAGTCAGGATATGGTAGGGAAAGTGCGGGAAAGAGTATTCAGTCGAAGAGGGGTACGAGTGCGCGAAATTGTGCGCAGTGAACGTGATCAGCCAGGCAAGCACAATGCTCCCGTGGAATCCTCCCTGGTTTATTTCTTGTTCATGCTGTTCATGCTGTTTTGATCATCAGCGTCTCTTCTCCTCGTGTTCTTGCTCATTGATGAAACTCAGAGCTTCTGTGCTTGTTTTCGTGTCGTTGAAGCCCAAAACGCCTTGAGAAAATGCTTGATCCTCCTCCCCCTCTCGCCCTGATTTCCCTCCTCTCCCTCCTCAAATCTTGTTTGCTTCCCTCCCCTTCGTGTCTTCCTTGCCCTCAGCTCACAGCTCACTCCTGCCCTCCCTCAGATCAAGCAAGCATGCGGCGGCGATCTCTCACGAGTCGAGCGCATTGTCAAGCTCGTCGGCTTCGTCAACGCTGCCCCTGACTTTCAGGACCATCCGAAAGTTGTCAACGGAGCTTCCGACCTCATGGTCGCTGCGTTCCAAGACAAGGGACGCCATGCTCGGTCTCGATTCCCTGCTCTCCTGCTCCTGCCTTGCTGCTCCTCTGCCCTCTCTACCCTCGACTTCCTCCATCCTCCTATCTCCTCCGAACATCTCCGTTCCCCTCCTCTCCCCTCCTCTCTCTCCTTGCGAGGCCCTCTTGCTCCTGTCGCTTCTGCATTGTTCTGCCCGCAACTGCAGCTTCCTCCTCCTGACGTGGCCGAGCAGATCTGCTGTTGGTGTCGGATCCCTACCCTTCAATGTTGCGGTGAGCATGAGCTCGTGTAGAAGATGAACCATAGGAGGAGGGGAGGGGAGGAGGGGAGGGAGGGGAGGGGGGAGGGGAGGGGAGGGGAGGGGCGCGGAGAGAGAAGGGCTGAGGGAAGTAGGAGGGAAAGGGAGTCGAG